TGATGACGACAGCGTCATTGAGTTTTACGAGGACTTCTCCCCACCTTGCATTTGGCGACAGCCGAGGCAAGGTCTACAAGACATGCCAAGCACTCAAATACCGGACCAAAGAGGCTGCCGAGGCCGCCGCGGCCATGGAGGTCACGCCACAACGAGATCCAAGGAAGAGCATACTCAGCAGCCGCGTCATTCGTATCGACGGTGAACACGGGATTTCCAAGATTGAGAAGGACGGCAAGGTCAACTGTCGCTATTGCTGGACCATCAAACGCGATGTGTTTGATATTCCCATGCTTATCGTTATGAATGTGAGTTACTTGGCCCTGCTCTGAGACTATAGGCATTCTCGTACTGACTAGACGTGCAGTTTTTACCATGCTATTCGCGCAACCAGGAACCGCACCAACTTGCTGTTTAGATGGGGTGTTCAATTTCAAAACCAAAAAAGTATGAAGGGGGTCATCAGGCTGGGGACATACTAGGGCATTCAGGTACGGGCGGCGTTTGGGACAAGTTGGGCGCATGCCTGGGATTCTTATTCTCTACAGTTTCATCCTTCTCCAGATGAGAAGTAGCAGTGTTTCTTTTTTTTTTTTTTTTTTTTCCCAGATGTTGCCTTCGTGGCTCCGGTGTGATGCGTGTGTGATGGGGAGGGGGGAGGGAGGGGGATGGCTTTGAAATTTTGACACTCGGTCGCAAGGGCGTACATCGTGTGTAGGCGGGCATGTTTATCGTTTCTCATGTCTATACGAATCTACATGTTGCCATGAAACCGGGTGCACATCATTTTTCTTCGTCGCTCGTACGCAGGTGCTTGTGGTCGCATGGCCCCATCTGGCAAACGCCGCTCCCTTCTAACTCTGGCTTTCCACCCACTCCTGACACCGGGGGCAGCGAGGACCAGCGAGGACCGCCCTCTCACTCTAGAGCACGCAGCAGCCACGAGACGTCGAGCGTGCCCTCGCCGTCGCCCAGCCGCGCCTCGGCCCCCTCACCGCTGCGCAGCGCGTCCTCGCGCGGCGGGCACCAGGCGCTCCGCCTCAGGCTCTCGCGCGCGACAGTGCAGTCGAACCGAATGTCCTCGACGAGGGCCTCGAGGGACTTGTAGTCCTTCTCCTCGCGGACGAAGCCGAGCAGCAGGAGGCGCATGTGGGCGTCGTAAAAGTCGGCGGCAAAGGGGTGCAGCACGTGCACCTCGGCCGACCGCACCGTGTTCTTGTAGAACGGGTTGTAGCCGATGGACATGACCATCGGGTACAGCAGGGGGGGCAACGGCGCGGCCGCGTCTGCGCTGCGCCTGGGGTTGGGCTGGGGCGGTTGGGGTGGTCCGCGGGCAGGGCGATCGAGGCCCAGCCAAAGTAGACGCCCGAGGCGAACGTCTCGATCCAGGGGGTCACGGATGCGTCGACGGGGAGGTTGGCGGTGGGGATGCCGAGCTGTGGCGTGTTAGTCTTCGGCATCCCTCTTCTTGGTGTTTTGAGGGGAGAAGGGGGGGCATGGAGGGCATTCATGGCATGAGGGGGCATGGGCACAGTGAGCTGAGACGAGACTGACCTCCTTCGAGCGCCGCGAAGCCGGAAATGACCTGCCCTCCATCTGAAGGGAAATGGGTCTCTGGGCCTGCATCGGGGCCTACGATGCGAGGACGCCCTTCCGTGACGCCTGTGTCTGTCATGATGATAAGGGTGTTGATGGGGGGTCGGCAGCGATGAGTAGTACAGGAATGTCCGAGAACTAAGGCAGGAGGCGTTCTCGTAACCCCCGAGTGGTGAGACTGGTGTTGCGTGGGACCTGATGTCTCGGGGTCGGTTTGGGGCGTAAGGCAGACGAGGAGCGGCCTCTGGATGTGATGGAGGGGCGAAAGGTGAGGCTATCGTAGGATGGGATTTGGAGAATGAGAGAGTCTTATGCCGTTGGAGGGGTCGCGCTGGTCGAAGGAGGGGCAGACCCTGACTAATGCGAAGCTGCTGGCTAACCCTAACCCGATGACGTCAGTCGCATCGGAGACGCAGAACTGTTGAAGGGCGAGGCCAGCAACGGCATCTCTTTTCTGGCTTTCATGCCGTTGATGATCAACATAAGCTTTCTTCATTGACATAGTCTGATGTATTCAAATTGTGAATCACCTCTTTGTACACAAGATGCCTAATTTAGCGGGCTTGGGATTGGCCGGGGGTCACATGTTCTCACTCAACGAGGATGAGGTGTAAGCACTTGACCGCTACGATTGGTGCCACCAAGGAGTGAGCTGACCATTGGCGTTCACTTACCAGATGATGTGGATTGTCCGTTAGGACATAAAACAGGCTGTCGGCAGGTTTCGTGCATCTGCTTTCCTTCCTGTCATTTATGCGTTTTTGTTGTGCCTGAAGGAGAGTATAAAAGCAGCGAATGTTACATTCGCCAAACCGCCTCTAAGATGCAACTGACCATTCTAACGTTCACGCATCGTTCGTGGCAATCATGATGGCACTTTCGGTATACCAAAGGTTTTCGTTGGTGCTCATCTTCCTATATGTTTTCATCCTGATGTCCATCACTGTAAGATCTCCCACAACAGTAAGAGCTAGCTTAAACTGACTGGTCTGTGGCAGTGGCCACTGCTTCGAACCCTATGCAGCTTTTGGCATTCCAAGCTTACCAGGGCGGGGTCACACACGCCTCGGGCAACCCCTAAGCTCTTGCCCGGGCTCTTCCATCGACAACGAAGCTCAATATATGATGTTGAACAGCAACCGGCAGTCAGCTACCACTGATCTGATGGCGGTACAATTCGCTTCGTGCTGGATGAAATACTCTTTCGATAATCATCAAGTTGGACGCGTCAGTAGCGCGCTTGAGCTTGGCAACACACTTCATGTCGGTGTCTCAACACGGGATCGGCATTGTCTACCATGGCAACGATCATTCAGAGCACGACATGGAGGGACGCTCAAGAGAAGCGAGCTGAATTGATGAACCACAAGGTAGCGCTCGTTCGCACGACGCGCGCGCCTCGAATGAATCACATGTCATGCTGAGCTTCCAGAACAGTATTTTGGCTGTTCAGCAACATGCAATAGGGGTAATAATTGGTATCTCGCGTAAGGACAAGAAAGATCAGTCAACTGAAACACAGCCAGCGTCTGAAGAAGAAGAAGAAGAAGAGAGTCGCCCCGTGGCCCCCTACGCAGTGGCAGCAGGCTTCTCCGCCGGGTCCTTCCACTCGGTGCGGCCGAGCCTCACGATATCCGCCGACTCGAGGATCCAGTACTTGTCGGGCGCGCCGCCCTCGGCCGCGATCTGCGCGGCGGGGACAGCAGCCCGGGGCAATGACCTCGTGCTCCTGGCCAATGGCATCCTTGCAC